CATGCTTACTCAAGTGCTGCTACCAGGGTCACAACTTTTCAAAAATGCATTCATGCCTAATGCTGATGGAAGGTAATTGAGGAAACAAAAAGAAAGAGGAAGAGGTGGACAGGAAAATGAGAAATAGAGAAAAGGATGAGGAAAAGACAGATGAAGGTAGAGGAAGAGATGAGATAAAGGCAGAGTGAAGTCGGACAGCAATGGTTGGTATGATATGGTTTGATATCAGACAGGATGATATGGTTTGGGTGTCCCCACCCAAATCTCGTCTTGAATTGCAGGGACCCGGTGGGAACCAATGGAATCATGGGGGCAGTTACCTTCATGCTGTTCTCATGATAGTGACTGAGTTCTTCATGAGATGTGATGGTTTTCTAAGGGGCTTTTTCCACTTTTGCTCGACACTTCTGGCTACTGCCATGTGAAGAAGGACATGTCTGCTTCCCCTTCTGCCATGATTATAAGTTTCCTGAGGCCTCCTCAGCCCTGCAAAACTGAGTCAATTAAATCTCTTTCCTTCGTAAATTACCCAGCCTTGGGTATTTTTTCATAGCAGCATGAGAACAGACTAAGACAGAGGGGAAAACAAAGGACATGTTGTTTTGATTTATTATATTTAAAAAATTGCCTGCAATAATAAGTAACACTATTTCCTAACCAAAGCTTTATCACATTTCAGGAATAAAAAGCTAAATGTGTTTGGAGAGGATAAAACACTAAAAGATAAAGCTTTCAATACAGGACAAGTTAGGGTGGGATTTGTACATGTATTAGTGGAGAAGAGGGGAACGGACACAAGTAAAGGCATGCGATTTGGATTAGACCATTCCAGCCTACAAAGACACAGAAAGGAACCTTGAGTGAGCAATGATTTTTCATTTGTAGGATCCCAAATTGCTGATATAACTGGAGAAAAGGCCTGGGACTTCCAGGTTTATTTTGCCTGCTTTGCTCAGAAAGAGAAAGAGATGGGAAACGTGTCTTGGTTCATTTCCCTTTTCCCATCATCCTCATATTCTACACTGGCTTTTAATGCAGTAGCTACTTGATAAAAGAGAAACCTGAATAATGAGATCTTCCAAATGCAACGCAGGTGATCTTTCCCTTGCTTTCTGGGTTACTGTGGGTGGACTCCAAGTCTCCCTGATCCCTCAGTTCTGCTTTCCCTGGGGATGGCCTCTGCCTGTCACTGCTTAATAACGCATCAGTGACCTCAGATTTCCAACCCGCCCTAGTGTTTGTTGTCACAGGAGCACTGACTGCCCTCCTTCAAGTACAGTAGTGGATCTTTACTTCCAGCTTTACTTAGATCAGGGAATTCTCTCCCTTTTGTAATGGCCAACCTTTATACTCACCAACAAGCAAAGATCGAGGTCAGAATAATCACCAGCTAAAAGGAGTGTGCATTTAGGAGCTAAAGGTTTACATACACGTTCCCAGGTATCAGTGCCAGATGGTAAAGTCGTAAATTTTAGACAGAAACTGACTTCCTGCATTTAAGTTCAGCTGATGGAAACTCACTCTAGGATCCAAGTCGAAAGACATTCCAGATCAGGTCTTAACTATGCATGACATATAGGCAAATGTAAAGCAAATAGAAAATTCCACAACACGTGTATGCCCTGCAGCCACCCCTGCCTCATCAGAATGGTGGTACCATCTATAACCAGACCCTCCATGCCATGCAATGCTTTCAATAGGCTGGTAAAACAAAGATGGTGACTGCCTGGCATGCTGTTTTACTTCTCCCCAAATCCATGACAGACTTTTCTATTTAAATGTAGTCCTCTATCCTGCTGAGCTTAAACATGATCCCAGAATTCTTCTACCCACACACTGGACTTTCTACTAAATAATAGATTATGGAATCTATTTGCCCTCCTCATTCTAAGACACTTGAGATCCTCTAGCATCTGTTTCCCTCCCAAGTACTGCGCAAATGCTCACAATGACATTCTACCTCCAGTGTTCTTACTTCTTAGGACCCCATATGAAGGATGCTGACACTGAGGAATTTAACATCAATTGTGCAAGGATATTTCTTGGCACTATCAATAAAGGTATTTGAGGAGGGGTCTTTTGAAACTTTGAATGAGCTTCAGCTCATGTGTGTGCCCAAATACACATCCGTGATTCTCAACGGGGGGCAATTTTACTGCCCACCTCCCGGGTGGGCGGACATTCGGCGGAGTCTGAAGGTAATTTTGTTTGTTACAACTGAGGCATGACACTGGCATCTGGTGGGTAGATGCCAGGGATGTTGCTGTATATCCTGCAATGCACAGAACAGACTCTAATAAATAATTATCCTGTCCAAAATGCCAATGGCGCCAACACTGAGAAACCCTGGTACACGTTAAGCCCAGGTGTAGCGTTAGAAAGAATGTTGAAGAACCTCTCATCCAACTCTGTCACGCTATAAGTAACACAAGAGATGTACAGACAGCTCAGCAGAATTAGCAAATAGGCTATCCATCCTCCTGATGGGACACTAAAGCCCGTTTTAGATGTAGAGGACAGCAAGCTACTGCGGTTCTCCACCAGTCTATTAGAATAGGTAAACAGAGATGAGAACGACAAATCTTAAGATCATTGGTTCTATGCATGGATGTTAGATTCAGGTAGCAGCGGGCAGTATTGCCATTTTTACACATGGGAAAAATTACAAATCATGTATTCATTTAAAAATTTAGTATCCCAGGACTTAAATTTTAAAAAAAGAAAAATAAATAAAATTTAGTCAACAACTATTTATATCAGGCTCTTCATTGTGCTGAGGTAAGTAAGACAATGACCAGTACAGGTGAGGCTTTCCCTCAGAAGCTTGCAGTCTGCTGGATGGGACGGACAATAGGAATTTCATCACAACGTAATCAAGTCTGAGATAGGAGGGCCTATAAGAGCATTGACGAGGGGCATCCAAATTGCAGCCAGGGAAAGGATTTTCAGAGGGCAATATCTGAGCTAAGCTCTGAAGGGAAAGAAGAAGTTAGAAATTCTAAAAGTCGAGCCCCAGACCACACACTCAGCCTGCTAGGCGTGGCCGGTGTGTTAAAAACTTAGCTACATGGTCTAAGCCTGAATTAAGCCATATTTTCACTGGCTATCGGTTTTTCCTGGGCTGGGGCATTACATTTCTGATCAGTACAGTTAACAACTGACATAAGACTACTTCCAGATTTTTACACATCTAGGTAGGTACATTTTATATCAGGATGCTCAACTCTAAACTCAAGAGCTAAGGAAGGTGTGTGTGCAGAAAGTCAGCCAGCCTTACTCAGCTCTCTGGGCTCCCTTCCCATGAAACATCAAGTCCTCCAGGCCAAGGCTGGGCTGGGGCGATCTGAGAGGCAGCTTCTTTCCCAAGGCATGACATTCACAGGCTGGCCTCCCAGGCTCCTCTCAGCATCTTTTCCTCCTGCAATTCAACGCTCCTTCCCTTTGCTGCATCAAACAAAAGGCATTTGGGAGCAACTGAGGGAGCAGATAAATAATGAGAACCAAGATGCCAAACCTGAAGCAAGTTCAGTCTGAAGAATGGATGGTTCTCTCCCCAGAGCCCACAGGTAACACTTTTGCATCCCTTCCTATCTCCAGGGCTTCGTAACCTCCTCTTCACTCCCACGCCCTGCGCTTACCAGCTCCACTCTACCTGCAGGTCTTAAAGCTGTGGATAGACTTGTGTCTCATACCAAGTTTGAATAAACCAAATGAATTCAAGCTTCAATTTCTCTAAGCCTATAAAGGGAAGCAGCATGTGATTTGGCTCTTTCTTACAGTTGACAGAGATGTATGGATGCGGGGAGAATGTGTTTTTATTTTTATTTATTTATTTAAAAGTTTTTATTAAAGTTCACCTCTTACCCACAGGCCTCAGGCTCCCTATAGAGACACAAACATCACAATTCAATCAGCTGGTTTCCAAGGTGCCAAATTAAAATAGATGAAGAGGTAAGAAGGAAAAATTGAGCAATGTTAAGCTAAGACTTCTTCCCTCCCAAGTGCATTGTGCCTGCTATTATATTGCACACATGAAACTGGCTCCCAACATAATTAGGCCAGAGCTACCAGGCAAAAAAATCCTCAAATTATTCAGAACCCCAGAGCTAATCTTTTGCAGTCTCTCGAGTAACTGAGAAAAGAGTCAACTTTTAAACGTAAATTTGTTGTCATCATCAACATTGTCCAAGCAATTCCCAACATTCTACCTGCCCAAAAATTTAGACTCATGAGCTGAGGTGAGACCCAAATGCAGGAATACTTCTCTCCAGCCAGCCAAAATCTTTTCTTCCACTGCAACCTAGAGTTTATTCCAACAATCTTTAGGGACTGCTGGCTCTGTTAGACAGGGGTGGAGAGTCCACCAGGGCCACAGCAAACAATACCCCCTTTAGGGTCCATTCTCTTGGTGGCATCATGCATGGATAATATTCATTTTCTCTTTGTGGTCATGTACTTGGAAAAGCCACCACACTCTCTGTCTTACCCCAAAGATCCAGCACATGACTTTATTGCTTTCCAGATCATAAATGAGCCATGGGTGCTTGAGAAATAGTAGTTCACGGAAAAAGAAAAGAAAGAAAGAAAAAAAGAAAAAAGAAAGAGCCATGGTACAGAAGAGCATTTTTCATTGAACTCAGAGGGGAAAGAAAAAACCACCTTTCACAGCAAATTGACAGAAGAGCAGAAGATCAAGCACCGCATGTTGTCACTCATAGGCGGGTGTTGAACAATGAGAACACATGGACACAGGGAGGGGAGCACTACACACTGGGGTCAGTTGGGGGGAAATAGGGGAGGGACGGTCGGGGGTGGGGAGCTGGGGAGAGATAGCAAGGGGAGAGATGCCAGATGTAGGTGATGGGGAGGAAGGCAGCAAATCACACTGCCACGTGTGTACCTAGGCAATAATTTTGCATGTTCTTCACATGTACCCCAAAACCTAAAATGCAATAAAATAAATGGGAAAAAAAAAACCACACTTCAAAAGAGGTGCTTACTGGATTTCAGTAGTGCTGCCAAAACTTCGGTGGCTGCCCTGGAGAAAGAGAAAGGAAAGTAGCAGTCAACGTCCAATGGTCTTTTTATCATCCCTTGGACCCCACAGCCAGGATGCCCGTTGCCACCCCACAACAGACCCATGACTGACCCGGTAGCAGGTAATCTATTGATTGCCCCGCTGACCATTAAAGAGGCATAAATGCAGAAACGACACTGAGCGAAGTGTCCGTCTTGCAGATGCGTCTCTGAGGTCCCCTCTTTCTCTCCCTGCTTGCTTCCCACCTTCCACCAACTTCCTTGCACAGAGTGGCTCATTTTTCTATTATTCATACCAGGCAGAGCTCTTGTCGGTGTCTTGATTTGTTTCTGGAAACATGCGGGGACCCTAGAGAATGGTCCGGGAGGGAGTGGGGCTTGGGGGCTTAGAGAATACAGCCGCACAGTGCAAACTTCTTGAAACCCTCATACCCCTGGGGATGCAGTGGAAAATGCATTCACACATTGGAAAGTGAGGCTGTTTCCTTAGGGCGGAAAATAGTTATGTCGGGATTTTTCTTCCAAATTCATCGCTTTCCTCTCTGGAGGAATTTCACAGTCTTTGCAACAAAAGGACGCATCTGAGAATGAAAAATACTTTTTGACCCACAACTTAGTGATCTTTCGATCTGTTTCCTGCTTCTGAGGTCACACAAAAACCTACCTACAGGGCAGAGGAAAACTTCACTGGCATTGAGGGCAGTGTGGTATAATTCCAGGGAGGAGAGTTGTATTTGCTTTTTTAAAAAAATAGAAGATTCTATATGGCCCTAGTAACTTATCCTTGAGGCTTGCTAAGCAGTAATCTGTTTCCACCACCTCTCTCAGGATTGGAGGAACCGTCCAAAGAGGTTGGATCGCACTTCCCAGACTACACAGACATGTCAGCAGAGCTGGGACCCCAAACTGAAGAATCTTACTGCACACCTCTGCTTCTTCCCTCTCTGTTGTTCTCCAGGGTCTCTCTCTCACTGGCCCTACCCTGGCCTCTGCCTGGTCAATGAAAGTTCACTTTGCAATATACTAGCTAATACTGAACAACAGAGCTAGCAGTAAAAAGGAAAATAAATGAATAAACATAAAATACAATAGAAAATCTGTCCTTGTGACAGCGTTGCTCCCCATAGCCTACAAAGCAGCTCTGCAAGAGCAAAGGCCTGAAATTCACAGGCCCCTATGCAAACCTACAGCTGGGGTGACATCCTAGCTCTGGGAGACCAAAATGACCATAGGGCAGTGATAGAGGGCAAGGCTAGCTTTCATGGATGCACTGCCTCCTTTATCCTTCAGAGGGTTTTCCTCTTATCAACTTTCAGCTTCTTCGATCCCCCTGTTCCATAATCCCACAGAGTTTTGGCAACGGTGGATTTAAGAAGGAACACATGGAAGGCATTTCTGGAAATTCAAGGCAGTGTGAAAAGTCTAGGTGCCACGGTACATGCGGCAAAAAGAAAATTGGTGTTTTTGGAAGAGCAAAGCAGCCAGATTAATTTCCTGGAAATGAATTAGTAGAGAAGAAGGAAACCATGGAAATGGGCAAAGAGTGAGGATGTTCCAAGCAAGGCGCCCAACCCAATCCTAGCGCACAGGCCAGGTCTCCAAGGACAGCGACTGCACTTCTCATTTCCATTGTGCTTTTGTTTTGAGAAATTCACAAGCGAGGTAATGATCCATTAGATAATAGTTTTATGAGACAGACGAGCGGTGGGGAGGGACAGGTGGCAAACAGACCAGTTAGGAGGATAAGCCATAATAGGGTCTCAAACCCAAAAAGTGGCATGAGAGAAGAAGGGATGAGTTAAAGGCACATTTCCATCTTGCTACTCAAAGTCTGAGTCTCTGATCACCAGCCTCACATTTTCTGAAAGCCAAAAAGAAAGGCACAATCTCAAACCGCCTCCCTCACCTACTGAATCAGAATCTTTATTCTAACAGGTAATTCGGATGCATGAGCAAGTTTTAGGATAATTGGTTTAAGAGACAGTATCAGCATGCCTTGCTCTTTCCATGTGGAGAGGGTAATTGAAGGTGACTCCCAGATCACAACTCTCTAGAAAGTACCAAATAACATGCTAATCTAAATAAATATGAATCCAAACAGTGACATTGTATAGCAGGAAATGCATGGTAAGTGTCACATTTGTCAAAAAAATTGAGGCCAGAAAATAACTAGAAGAGATTTATTTCTTCCTAGGGCGAAAGTGGGAGATCAAATGTTTAGCGCAGCAAAGGGCACATTTAGGGCAATGATGGGGATAAGATTTGAGGCCAAATTCTAATATTCTAAAGACTTCACATTCAATTCTGTAGGTAACGAGAAGCCATTTGGGTTTTTTAATCAAGGTGATGTGGTGTCAAAATGGAAAACTGAGAGAGAGGTTGTGAGCAAAAAATTAACAAGAGCTAAGGAAAGGTGAGCTGTGGAGGGTGAAGGAAAATGAAGAGTCAGTGATGGCCTGAAATATCTAGGCTAGGACGATGGGGGAATAAGAGAGCCATTCATAGACTAAGGAGAGAAGTTGCAGTGTTTAGGCCACAAAATGATTTTGATTTTGATGCTGAGTTTAAGATGAAGGGGACAGCAGAAGCCTACATGAAGCTGTTTGGAATGCTGCCGGAAGCATCACAGAGAATTCAGGGGTGCCACTGGAGTTGGGAATATACATTTATGAATCACTTCATATAGAATTCAGGGGTGCCACTGGAGCTGGGAATATACATTTATGAGTCACTTCATATAGAATTCAGGGGTGCCACTGGAGTTGGGAATATACATTTATGAATCACTTCATATAGAATTCAGGGGTGCCACTGGAGCTGGGAATATACATTTACGAGTCACTTCATATAGAATTCAGGGGTGCCACTGGAGCTGGGAATATACATTTATGAGTCACTTCATATAGAATTCAGGGGTGCCACTGGAGCTGGGAATATACATTTATGAATCACTTCATATAGAATTCAGGGGTGCCACTGGAGCTGGGAATATACATTTATGAATCACTTCATATAGAATTCAGGGGTGCCACTGGAGTTGGGAATATACATTTATGAATCACTACAGCAGCAATGATCGTCATAGCCAGGCAAGCAGGTGATATCTGTGAGGAAATTCAGTCAAGGGCAGAACAGAGGGCTGCCCCAGGAAAGCACCAACACTAAAGGGTAGGAAGCTCCTACAGGAGTCAGAAGAGGTGCATCTGAGGAAACAGGAGGAGACCTGGGGATTCGTTTGGGAACTGAATGTCACTAGACTGTATAGGCACACTGTTTTTTCAGACTGCAAACTGTGACCGAATAGCGCATTGTAAAGTCAATTTTACAGGTACTGACTCTATTTTTTAATGAAGTAGAAGGAATAAAAATGAAACTCATATATCAGAGTCATTTCATGTAGTAAAGGTTAGCAGTGTCTGAGAAATTTTCATTTCAATGCACAAAATTACATATGTGTACCTACTGGGAATGTGATGTAAGGGCTTTCCTTAAAAAAAAAGTTTGTAAAGATGTAGTGTCCACATAAGAATAAACATCCAAAATCAACGAGTGAGCAAACTGAAAGCACTTGATTTCCCACAGGCGGTGCCCAGGATCCAGGCATGGAGTCAGTCATGTGCGTGTCACCAACAGGCTCTTTTTTTTTTTTTTTTTTTTTTTTTTTGTTTATTCAGTGGATACATGTCTGCAGTGCTGGTCTACTCTGAGCAATGCTTCTCTGCCACTTACCTGCTCCCACAGCCAAGTACGAAGAAAGAAGGAAAACTATCAGAGCCAAGGCATCGACTCTGTTAACCAACCACTAAACCTACAAAAAGCAGAAGTTTAAGCTGCTAAATCTTAAACAAATAAGAAGGCATTCAGTTACCTCCACTCCAAGAAGCCAAGGCCATTGTAGTGAGTGCTCTGGAGCCCCCCAGCCAGTGCCTTCTGAGTGCAAGACCGCCTCCTGCTGAATGTGTGCATCTGACACGTGCGGTTCTGGGAGCTGCACTGATTTTATGGAACAGGACTTCTGTCTCTCTCTTTTTTTTCTTTTTTCAAGACGGCATTTTGCTCTTGCCTCCCAGGCTGGAGTGCTGTGGCATGATCTCAGCTCACTGCAACCTCTGCCTCTTGGGCTCAAGAGATTCTCCTGAATAAACCTCCCAAGCAGCTGGGATTACAGGCATGCGCCACCAAAGCCGGCTAATTTTTGTATTGTTAGTAGAGATGGGGTTTCACCATGTTGGCCAGGCTGGTCTCGAACTCCTGACCTCAAGTGATCCGCCTGCCTCAGCCTCCCAAAGTGCTAGGATTACAGGCATGAGCCATGAGCCACCCCGCTGCCCCCACACTCCGCTGGCCTGAAGAGGACTTCTCAGGAGGTCACTGTCTTCTTAGAGTTTAAACTCATGCCATCATCCCCCATTGTTTGAGCTTCCCTGTGGGGAGTCCAAAAGAGATGGAAAACAGAAGTTCCAAAATGTCCTCCATCTGAGTGTTCCTGTGTTTACATCAGTGAAAGAATCACTTCGGAAATTTTACAGAACATCTTGCTCCAAGAGAGTTATAACGACAGCCACAGGCAAACGGCCCCATCCTATCTATTTTCACACTGTAGGATAGTTAACTGAGTTCGGCTAAGATTCTAGAGGTCACAGATCACTTCCACTCTCCTATTCAGAAAAAGCTAAGCTTAACTATTGGCAAATTTGAAAATATCCTCTTGTTAAGATTTTTAGCAGAAAGCACAGAATCTCAACAGTTTGTCTTCAAGCTGAAGTCAATTTTAAGAGCCATTACAAAAGAGTCTTGAATATTTATCACCCCCATTTAGGGGGCCCCTATAAATGCCAACCAGAAAGCTAAATGTCCCATATACATCATTTTACACCACAGTTGATCTTCACGGGAATGCTAGAGGGTGAGATTATTAGTCTTGTTTTACAAACAGCAATAATGAAGTTCACAAAGGGTGAATAATCTTCCCAAGATTCAGCAGCTAGGAAGAGGCAGCACTGAGCTACATGTCTACCTCCGTGTGACTTTAAATCTAGTGTTCCTAATGCCTTCTGTCTACTTTTAACATAATTCTAGAGAGAATCTAAAATATCTCTCAGTGCAATTTTTTATCTTTCAAATAAGGATTGTGGAGATCAAGAGGTGAGATGCTTTGTGCAAGGTCAGAGGATTAATACATCACAGAGCCAATGAAGAAAACAATTTGTCCAGCTTGACTCAGGAATGGACATGGTACAGTTTGGCTGCAGCCTGAGTGGGTGTAGATGTTCAGGGGTGGACATGGAGACAAAGACAAAGAACTCAAGGAGAAGCAAGTCACAGGCGTCTTTGAGGGACAGGGCTGAGTAGCTAAATTAGGAAGTAGAAGGCTTGGGTTTGAAGCTTGGAGCAGCGACTTTTCTGCTTCCGGGTTCCAGGTTTACTTGATCTCTCTGAATCTCATCGGTCCCTCATCTATAAAGGGGATATATAAGATCTAACTGATGGGATGGTGTGAAGAGTGAGATAAAGTAAAAATTTAAATTAAAAAGTTAAAAGCTTACTACAGCCCCTGAAATGTAATATTATTAGGTTGGTGCAAACGTAATTTTTGCCATTAAAAGTCATGGCAAAAAACACAATTACAATTGCACCAACTTATTGACTTGACTGTCACTGTTAGATCATGGAAGGTGGAATGGGTACCAAGTGAGGAAGGAAGCTTATCCCTGCATGTGTGTTTGCAGGAAGTGAGCCTACAGGACTGTCATTCACCAGTCAGGAGAGGTCACTGGAGAAAAAATGTGCTCCTCTCC